ATAATGGTAATAGGACTGAGTGGAGTCCAATTCGGTCTGTAATCATACGAGCGATTAACAAAATCGGACGATCGCCAAGCGGGAGTCCGATTTGTTAATCACGAGTATGATTACAGACTGAATCGGACGACACGATGTCCTGTTACCAATTTATCAAAACTATGACAAAATTCGAGAAACGAACAAACCATCGAGTTATCGCTGAATGATTAAACGTCGTTATGAATGCTGAAAAACATAACAGTTTACTCAACTAAGTGCACCGCAACAGCGCGCGCAAAATGACGCGTACTGTCCATTTACAACCATGACGCGTACACTGTCCAATTAATGCTCAAATCGGGCTGCTGATAGCCAATCACGTTCGAGAATTTCGTCATAGTTTTGATTAATAATAATATTGTTTTTGGTGACTATAGAATAGAGGCTCGTCATATAAAGTGCAAGATCCGCAATTTCACAATGAAAACCCTTTATACTCTTGATAAATGAAGAGCCCTCATGAATTCTATGGTCACTCAAAAAATGTGCTAAGAATGTTCTGTTCGGGGAAATGTTTACAGAAGTAACTTGAGAACAGATTCCCAAACTAGCAATTTATTCCATGCCATGATTGCATTGGCAAAATTCAAATCTAACTATTGGTACTTGACGTAAAAGTTCTAATGTGCATACATGTATAATGTCTTTTTGCGTACTTGTAGATATTTAGATGCTTAAGGTATTGTGTGTGATATGGATTTGTATTACTAATAAAGTTAATCCAGAAATATTCAGTTTGTCTATCAGTAGACATCAGTAACCTAGGAGCAGTTGTACAATCTGGGCGAGAAGAATTAGACAATTTATGAACTGCTCCAGGGTTCCAGTGGAATATTTCTGGGCAAATAATTTAGTAATAAACCTAGCTATAGGAAAATCTGTGATAATAGAATATTCTTCAACATTTCACTGTACAATTTCAACCCAACACAACAATTAAAAAATATCAGTAAAATAAAAATAATCGAAATAAAAACAACTGATGATACATTGTATCTAAATTGAATAATCAATAACATCTACCAGATCAATCCCTTTTGATTTCAAAGTAATGTTGACTTTTTTCCAGAAATATTTCGTGTGCATCTAGATCTTCGTATGCATGTAAATCTTCGTATGCATCTAAATCTTTGTATGCATCTAAATCTCTCTCTTTTTTTTTTTTTTAGATGAATATACCTATTATTATGATATTTTTGTAAATCCTAGTTGAGGGATATGAAGAAGTAAAGTAAAGGCCTACCTTCACATGTTCTGTACCCTAACATACATGAAGGAAGGAGAACTTCACCTTCAATTGCAAAAAGTGATGCCCTGGGCTGTGACGACCATATTTTCTTAATTAAATGTTAGAGTCCAGGCATCTTCTTAAACCCAACATTTGTAAAACAATGGTACTTTATCATCATTTTTGTCAACTTGGTGTTTTGTCATAATCTCTGTTCAAACTATTACTTGTTTTCAAATTTAACTCTTAGGCAAAATAAAGATAACAAGTAAACTGATGGTGCATTTTGTAAACTATCAGCAAAATAAATTTACTGATGACATTAAGATCTGAAATTGTGCTCCAAAACATGTATTCAACTTTTACTAGGTAACAGTTTATAAACGAACTATTGTAAACTGTTTCCACTAACTAGACTCAATGAGAAGCTTAGAGACCTGGCCTTCTGTTCCCTTTCAGTTGTATGTTAAAGGACAATAATACGGGAGAGGACTGTCCAAGCCCTCCTGAAGAACAGGTCACGGGTGGTGTTTATTGTTTGCTATCCTTCCCCACTCTTTCCCAGCCTTGTTATTATTATTTTTTTTTAATAATTTTTGATGATTTTCTCCTTTAGTAAAATTATATCATTAGTAACAAGATTTCCCTCAACTTGAAGGACATAAATTACCATTTGCATTAAGTGCCATATAGATTTGATAAAAAATTCCTCAAGCCTTCTACACCTCTGATAGTTTTGACTGACAAGTCTCCCATAGTACCGACCAATGAAAACTCTAGCACCCCTTTTCAAAAAGCTACATAAATTTAACATTAAAATTCTTAAAATATTCTGATCAGTTTAATGAACAAGTACACACTATCACGTTAGCTTTCCTTGCTCTTCTTTCGAGGTAGTTCACCATCACTCTCTTCCTTGCCATCGGCTGTCAGATGTACACTCTTTGTTGCTGAAAACTGTCTGTCTTTGACAACATCTTCTAATCCCTGAAGCAATATATCAAGCATTTATTCATCAGTACATGCAACTGACCTAAGAGCTGAAGAACTCCTAGAAAAATGAATGTGCACAGACCTAAACAAGACACTGAGAAACATACATGGAAACAAATTACAAGCAAAAGTAGGGCCATAACAATGTAAATAATAATTATAATATAAACTGAAAAAAGTGCAACAAAATTATCTATAATTCTGCCAACACTTTAAATGGATTATGCAACCCATATTTGTGTAGGTAAGATTTCAGATTGGGCATGCTTAGTTTAACATACAGATCCACACAGCCATAGAAGAAGTCACAGTTTGCACTCAAAAGCAATAGAAATAAAGTAAAAAAATATCTTACTCCTTCTATACTTGGGGTATACCCCCAGAGCTATCACATCTTAATTTTACAGCTCTTGACGAGTGGTTTTCAAAGACCTTTTTGTGTTCAAATTCAAACCAAATTGGCACAAAATGGCACATGGAGTGAGAGTGTTAACCCTGAACGGAGGCATTGTATATTTGTGTTCTTAGGCATGTTGATGTAATCAGGCATCTACATGTGCATCTTCATGGTACAGGACCTAGAGTGAGTGTCAGTGGACAAGCAGCGAACAAGCATATGCATCCTGATGCAAGTATGTAACTTATGCTGTTAATATTACATTTTTCTTGTATAAAATAAAAAAAAATAAGTTAGATTACCTCTCCAGCATATGAGAGAAGTGGAGATATTTCACATACTACAGAACTGGGTCTGAAACAGGAACAAAACAATCAAAGGGAATCAGTAATTTGCCCACAAAAAAGACAAAAATATATTTTTACTTTTTTATACAGCATGCAATAATTGCATCATATTACCTAGCATCATAATATTATGCCCACTTGCAGATGAGTGCATGCCAACTATCTCTGTCAATGATATTGTTTTTAAAATACTATAATAAATCATCTAGCATCATATGCCTGTAGACATTATGTGCAAATATCTCAATGATACTGGTTTGAAAATTAATTTTATTATAAAACCTCTTACTAACTAAGCATGGGGACTGTGCTGGGGAGTACTGGCCTGAGGACACTGCAGTGCGGACTGAGCACAGCGAGGTCCGTACAAAATCAACAGATGGCCCGTATGGCTCAAGCCAGCTAGGTAACTACCTGTAAATTGTTTATTATAAGGAACTTAGGCTATGCTTGTTTTAAATTTGCTGGCTTTCGAAAACAACAATTGAAATTAAAATGATCCATAATAGTATGAAAATAAAGAGCATATATATTCTAGACAATCAGAGAGTGATAATAACTAAAATAGAAAGAAGTAAACACATGGAGCAGAGTGCATGTACACTTAACTGTCAAACCTATAAGCAACATTCTGGGAGGCACCTCATGTGGGTACTCCTGTACCATTTGTGCTCTCCCTTTAGTTTTGGGAATCATTCTCCTTTTTCCCACTATTTTAGATATAATTATATTGTTTGATATTCATTACATTCCCAATAAGGCTTATTAATTTAATTTCAACTGGTGATAATATAATTTAAGAGAGAAAATTAAAGGAAATAACTTACTCTGCATTGTCCTCAAATTTACCACCAGCTTTGACAATGTAGTTGTAATGTAAATTTAACAAATCCCTTTGTGCTGTTTCTGGACTGTCAGTTGGCGAACCTTTGCCATTTTTGAGAGGAGAAAATTCTTCTTCTCGTGCAACTTCCAGGACAGCAAATTTCCTAAAGCAAGAATATTGAGATTGCAAGATCGGCAAGATGATAAGAGGAACAAGTTCATACTGATTTCTGTTTACATGTGCAAGTCAAAATTACATTGATTTAAACTCACTCTGTAAACTCAAACACATCAAAGACAAACTTCTCCAACTTTATCCCATTTGGTTCTGTTGGAACTTGCCTGCAATAGTAAATCAAAACCAACAATTATGAGAAAATGTAAAAATTAATGAAATGTTTTCAGAGCATTTATAAATGACTAAATCTATAGCTTTTTAGTTTTGTTGCCTTTCAGCATGTGTACATGTAGCTAGAAATAACTAGTTGAACCATCATAAATTGTGCAAGCAGTGAAAGCAAAAGAGAAATGGGGGAGTTAGGGGGGTGGGGAGTGATCATAACTTGACCACTTCACGTCCTTCTTGCATATCTGCCACTTGTTTGTGATTAACTACTAATTAAAAGCTGAATAACACCATAAACATTGAAGAAAATAAAAATATGAAATTCAAATTGTCTTTTGCACCTATCGTACTTTAGGCTTTATTGACAACCTCTACTAACCAACATCTTCAGTTTTTTTTCCCCATCATCTTGCTTAAAACCTTGTTCAAATCCATACAGCACTCAAAAAAAGTGCCCAGTTGTCCGGGACAAGAAGATTTTTTACTGGGCAGGTAACTTTTCATTCTAACTTGCCCAATCGGTAAGGGCCCAGGCAACTCATCTGCCAGCTTAATGAAAAAAAGTACACAAAGACAAGCCCAGGGCAAGCAAAATTTGAGAACTACTTGTTCAAAGGCCTAAAGGCAAGATGGAATTCAAGTTTTTTCAAGTCCTGCCATATACACTAAAAAAAACCTTTAGTTGACAGAAATGACCCATCATAAGCAGCATGTCCACACTAAATAACACACAGGGGTACAGGTACACTGTAGAAGTTATAAATTGATACTTGAAGTTTTGTCTCTAGAACAACAAGTTATGGACTTGAGTGTGTCTGACACCAAGCGGCAAAAGCTCCCAGACAGTATGAGAATAACATCACTAAAAGAGTTCCAGATAACCATCAAGAAAATGAACTTTTAGTATTTTAGCACTCTAATTATGTATTGTGATACTTTTATTAATTGATTGATGAATTTTTCTTTCTCAAAGATATTAGCTCGATAGAGCTACTCCGAATGATAATTTGAGTTGAAATAAAGTGTATAACACGATTATACATGTACAGAGCCATGTAAAATGACACCTAATTTAATTTATTAAAGGTGCCTGTCTAATGGCCACTGCAATATTTACTGAATTTAATTGTGGCAAAATGCTTCCTGATTTGCACACACATACAGGCACAGAGTTTTTAATAAGATTTGAAGTAAGCAGGTGCCATGCCGCAACAATCAAGAACAATACAAAAGGTTCTTAGCAGCCTTTGTCTAGAGGGCCAATTGTTGAAACTGTTAACAATACAGATGGTGATGCACAACAAAATACAGCTGTACTTTCCAGAGCTCTAGCAAGTGTCAGGGTTTATCAAAAGCACTGCATGCAACATTAATTTGTTGATTGTTTAACCAGTGGCATGTAAACCAATTATTGACAGGGTAGAAAATCACTTTCCGCTACATACCGATTTCCACTCTTGTCAACATAAGGTATCTTCTTTTTCGCTATGTGGTATTTAAGTGATGGCTCAAGTTCTCTAAGGGTTAAGATCAGGAATTATACAATAAAATTATGGCTATATCCACACATACATTGTATGCTGTACATCTGTTAAATAAAATTCTGCAAATAGAACACATCAAGTTCAGCTTGTTTGAATCTCGATATGTATATACTATTACACCTTTGATGCACTCTGTATTAATCCTGGAAAGTTTGGTGATACAATTTCATACAAACATGTACATTATACTTCGGTTCTCAGGAAAGTAAATAAATTGGCTGCCAAGCATCAAAACTGTTGTAATTACAAGTATGTTAAACAGTGTACATACAAAAACCTATAAGTTAGCCCATGAAATTGTGCTTGTATTTAAAAACAGTGGTCACATTAATTGGGTTCTTAAAATGAGGATATACACTGTAATTTAGAAGTTCTGAAAGCATTTGCTTAATAGATGGCCAACACATTTAGCTGTTGCGGAAACTTTTCAAAACTTGTTAATTCAAGGACTCTAATCAACACACAGTGTACTTACTTGACAATTTTCTCCAAAAAGTCTACAGTAAAGAAATGGTTGGCGATGTTGCCTTCTCGAAACATGAGTTTTCCATCAGGGTCTCTCTTTTGCTGAACTTCTTCTGAAATTTCACTGTACTCGACAACCTGATGAAAAGCCAGTCACATATTAACTACTTTAATTTTTAACTATCCTTCCTTCACCTGCAGAGGAATCCATATTCGCAGTCATCCCATGAACCAAAATGACTGAAAAATTGTACAGAAGACCAAAGAACAATACAAAAACGCGTCCACTCTGCCAAAAAATAACATTTCTTAACTTTTCTTATCAATGAGTTCCTTGCATTCTACATTAACTACAGTACTTGCCATCCATTAGAACTTTTAGAAAACAGAGAAAGATTTGCAGCTTTCTTTTCCAATAAAATCATCATTTTGGTCTGCCATCTTGGATGATGCGGTAATTTTTCAGCAATGAAATCATTGCAGACTCAATTTTCATTTTGTCCACCATTGATCGATGTTATGTACTGCAAACAGGTGGTGCCATGACATTTAGTTGTTTTGATCATGGTACGACGTAAAGTAATCTTAAAGTGCCTATAAACCCAAAAATTATTTTTGGCTTAAACAAATCTTTGTATAATTCTGAGCAAAATGGTGCAAAAATTTTTGTTTTTGGTCAAAACCGGAATTTTCTATGATTTTTTAAAGTGGCGGAAAATCGAGATTTGATAACCCATTGCCGAGCCGCGGAACTTGCAGAAAGGGAATGGGTCGAGTGTAATTTGTGACGTAAAACCCGGACTATGATTTTCGCATGTTGCAGCGTGTTGTGATTTTGATCGTAGCTGACCAGAACCGAAGCAATATGCCTGAGAGATGTGTTGTTTTTGGTTGTAGCAATGTTCACAACAAAGAGAAAGGGATACTGCTTCAGCCCATACCTTTTTACGGTAAAGCTGACTCCGAAAAGCAGAGGCGAAGGAGAAAGTGGATCAATTTTGTAAAATCAAAACACGCACATTGGGAACCCAGCGAGCATTCAGCGGTGTGCTCTGAGTACTTCTCAGAGGAAGCATACACAAACCGATTTGCCGATGATCTGGTTCGGAGGCTCAAGAAGGACGAAATCGGCGTTTGCGTTTTTCCAACAAAGCATGCTCGTTGTGTTTCAAGCAACAAAGCTGCAGCGCCTCTTCCTCCTTTCTGTCCCTTTCGTACAACACTAACCATTCTTCGTCCGCTAACGGATCATCGGCATATGCCTCTTGCGTGCCTTCCTTGTCGCTAGCCATGTAGCTCGAGTTTGGCGAACCTTCGACTTCCAACTCGTAATTACAAATGTTGGCCAAATAAAAATTGTTTTCACCCGCATACAACGAAAACTACGTCTCCGCTTTTGTTGTTTTGTCTCTGTTATTGCTTTGTTTTCCCTGTTGCTAATGCCCAGGTTTTACGTCACTAGTCCCAGTCTCCCTTTTACCCAGTCGTGGGGCAGACAAACCCGGACTTCAAAACTTCATAAAAAATTCCGGTTTTGACCAAAAACAAAAATGTTTCGCCATTTTACTTAGAAATATACAAAGATTTATATGAGCCAAAATAATTTTTGGGTTTATAGGCACTTTAACACTTCGGAAAAAAATACAAATACATGTGTGAGCATGAAGAGTGATTTTAAGGGTTCCTTTCAGCCTTCATGAGAGTCAAATAGGCCTTGGTTTTCATTTGTACCTGGATTTTCTATGTCTGCCAAATCCACAAAACTACTGACATGATGTGCTGTAAGACTGATCAAGTGAAAATAATAGAAACGTAAACTTTCCATTTACATGTTGTTCAGTTGCCATTCTTCCCTACTGAATGGGCAAGTATGTTATCTGACATCCTTGCCTGGCTGATGACTTTGAGAAGAAAAACAAATGAATATGGATCCATGCAATCATAAGCCCTAACAACTGCATGGCATTAACTGTGAAAGTACAGAGAACTGAAAACACCATTCACTACAGATCCATGGACATAATAAAAGTTTCTTTGCCAGTAATACCTGGTATTTCCCATCACATTTCACCACAACTCCAACCCTCTCTTCAGGCTTTTTTTTCTCTACAACCTGTTGAAAAAAAATAAATTGTATATAGTGCACTGAGCTCTGAAAAAGCAATTTACTGAAACCAATTTGTGAGCAGTCCATCACAATGGTCTTAACTGCAAAATGAATACCATTAAGTAAACCAATCAGAATTTTCCTTTTCAACTTGGACCAGATTGCCATGTAATAAAAGTGTGTAATTTATGACAGGCCTGTTAAAACCTGGAGAAGGTCAACTGAGGAAGAACTGATAATAGCAGGAAGACAGTAAAGAAAATGGTAGCAAAAAGAGTACACTGGTATGTACAACATTGTGGATGCCGTTTATCCTATGAGGAGCATAAGGGAATAAGGAATAACTTTAAGGGAATATACCAAGCAAAATAGGGTTCTATAATCAACTGAACATTATTGAGTAAAACCAACCTTAGCGCCACATTCTGCTGCTTTATCAATACAGAATCCTATAAACACAGGATCTGCCATCTTGACCAGAATGTTGTCCACACAGTAAACATGAACAAACTCAATTCCTCGTCTCTTCATCTTATCAATGCGTTTCTTTTCATTCAGAACTTCATACAGACCACCATTTCCTCCAGGAGCTCGAGCAACTTTACCAGGCTGGTCAAGAATGATTTTACCCTCAAATGTTAGACAGGGCAGAGTATGTTGCTCAAACAGAATCACGTCGTTCTTCTGAAGTCCAAAGTAATTGTGCTCTTCAAAATACTTTTTAGTGTCATCCATGGTATGTTCACTGGTCATGATGTACCTGAAAGGTATTAGATAACAGCAGTTATTAAAAACTGGATCTTTGTATAATGCAATTCAAGAGTTTTCACTGGCTTAGCCATTAAGTGTTATGAGCATTGTGGATGACATTGTGCAATGTTTGTAGAAAAGCCTCCTGTCAAA